TTATTTTCAACCCATGTTTCATAGCAACGGAAGTTAATGCCTACTCCACAGGCATGGAAATCTGTATTGGATGCAACATGGAATAATATCTATTTCTCAAAACTCTTTCTTTTTGCTTCCTACAGGCAGTTGAGGGCATTTCCAACTCATCACTTTAATGTCTCCCTTTTGGGATTTCTAAAATACTGGTAGTAATATGAATTCTGATCAATCCTAGTTGAGTTTATTTTGTGCATGAACTATAAAACTATTTTTCCCTTCTCAGCACTAAGGCTATGAGCTTACTGTCTTTACCTTTTCCCCTACAGAAATTCCCTCTGCCTTTGATTTGGACTTTCACTGATGGCATCAACTTTCAGAGATTGAGGGGCTAGGCTTTGGGAGAGTCTGTGACCTCATTTCCTGTCTTGCACGTGCTAGAAGCAGTTCCTCTGTGCTTTATTCATGTAAAGTAAAACAAAACTGTAAGTTCAAGGTCACCAGAGTTATGCAGGTCATCCTTCCAGAGGCAGAAGCAAGGCTCCGCCCTAAGAGACCTCTTTGGATTTGTTCTTCTGCTTATCCATTTAGATTCTCAGGTGTTCTACAAAAATGTGTTAAATAAAGGAATGCCTAAAATACTCTTCCTCATTTTGCTACTCATTCACATTTGGAGATTCAGCTCAAGGAATGCTATAGTATTTGATGTATCTTAACATTGAAACTATTTGTAGTGCTCATTGTTTACCTGTCTTTGTCTTTATTTACTCTGAAAACTCTTAGATGGTGTAGGCTGGGACTTACTGCCCTTGAATTCTCAGCACACAGCTGTATAATACCTAGCACATTCATCAAACATTTATTATAAGAATTAATAAATTATTTAATACTACTTAGTCATTACATGGTTTTTAATATCACTTTTTATGTTTGCCAGTGACATGGATTGATGTTTGTTCATTTTTCTTCTCAGTCTACCATATACATACCTCCTCCCACCTCCTTCAAAGAGGAAAAGAGTCACACTTCCCCAACCTTCATGGAGCATGAAGAATATTATCAAGCTACACACACACACACACACACACACACACACACACACACAAAACGCCACAGGAACTCTAATTCATGTTATAAAAATGTAAGAACAGTCAATCAAGAGTGAAATGCCACCAGTGTGTTACTGAGAATAACTTTTCAAGAATTAAAAGGTTGAATAATTTAGAAATTGATGCCATAAAAAAGACTTTGCTGTCCATCACAGATATCTTCTTGTAGAGACTAGAATGCAACTTTTTACAGAACACTGTGGGGAGGACTTTATGCTGAGGAAATCATTGGGCTAGAAGAGCTGTAAGGTCTTTTCTACAGAGAGACTTAATGATGCCTTGAAAGTGCTTCACATCAGTGAAATCAGGATCTTTTCCATTCAAAAAGATGTGATTTTGTATACAGAGTGATAATAAAATGGCCTTTCACCTTTCTCTTTTCAAGGCCCATTACTGAAGTTGCATTCCAATTTCATATGAAGTGATTATAATAAAATTTAAAACTTAAAAATGTTGCAAATTTATAGACAGATTCATTAGTCAAGAATGACAGATTGCAATTTACTGACATTTCACATTCTAGTGTGTGGGCTGGGTGGATGTCATACGATTTTCTACTGTTGGAATTTCCAGCACATGTGTGTTATACAGAATGCCAATTCCTCACTAGATTGTGAACTCTTTGGTGGTTTCTTGAGGACAAGGATTGTGTTTTCACGCACCCATCCATTTTTCCAGTAAATCACTCCACAGCTATTTATTGAATTCCTACAATGACAGGCAGTCTGGTACCTGATAATCATAAAGTCCACATTCTGGGAAATAATACCAATAACAAATAATTGAATGATTACAGATGCAATGCTTTGAAACTTTATTTTCATTATCTCACGAATTTATGACAAGGAATTAAATGTATCTTTTAGCTTTGTAATTGGGATACCAATGATCCCCTAGGGAGACAGCTGAATCTTTATCAAGTAAGCATCATAGTAAAGGGCTTAACAAAATTGCCCCAAGGAAACATGTTTAAATTGACCTTCGCTAGGCCATCCTCTCCAACAAACAACAAAGATATAGCTACAATTCCACAACTTTCCCAAATCTGGGCCTCTGCTCAAGCTTCATCAATCCATCTGGTTGAAAAATACTGATCTATACTCCCAGTCAGCCAGTCACGATCTTACTTTAAGTAAGATTAAAACAGTGTCAACAGACAGTTCTGCATGAATATTTTCACCTATCAGAAGTTCCTGAGGAAGTGACTCTAGCACCTAGATTAAAAAATACTTGAATGGTAAACCAGCCATGGAAGTGACAGGCCTCAAAGGAGATTTAGAGGTGGCTTCCCTGGGGCCATTTGTTTACCTTTCAAAGAGTAGTGTACCTAGGGGACTTTATTTCATCTCCTTTCTCCAGGCTGGGTTTGCTTACATTTGTGTAGTACTCGCTCTCTCTGCTCCTACCACTGTGTTCAGGGGAGGAGGGGCAAATCTGCCAAATGGAGTTTCTCTCCTATGATAATAACTCTGCTCTACGTGTGGGTAGCACCTCCTTGCATTGCATTGTCCCAAGAAGGACTGAGACATAAAGAAACTCAGGCAAGATATTCGGACTCTTTCTCTTGGGTTTCCTATCAGGGTGAATGGATGGATGGATGGATGGATGGATGGATGGATGGATGGATGGACGGGCAGATATATACATACATAACAACACAAAGCT